TGTGTGTGTGTGTATCCTGGTGTAGAGTGTGTGTGTGTGTGTGTGTGTGTGTATCCTGGTGTAGTAATTCGTGCAGTAGTAGTAAATAATAATAATAATAATAATGATAAAAATAATAATAATAATAATAATAATAATGATAAAAATAATAATAATAATAATAATAATAATAATAATAATAATAATAATAATAACAATAATAATAATAATAATAATAATAATAATAATAATAATAATAAAAATAATAACAATAATAAAAATAATAATAATAATAATAATAATAATAATAATAATAATAATAATAATAAAGGCACTATTATTAACAAAAATGAATTAGACATTGATAATAACACCCATTACTAACACAGTTACTCCCTGCTGGGGGGCTGCATAACAGACGGTCAATAACCTCCCTAACAACGACAACAACAAAAATACTCCTTCTCCTCCTAATATCAATAATTATAATACAATTTAATAATGATAATATCAATTGTAATATCAACTTGACAGACAGACAGAGCAGTGACTGGGGATGGAGACAGGTGGCTAGTGAATGCATACCATAAACAAAAGAAGAATTATATCAGAAGACGATAGGGTATAAAGAGAGAGAGAGAGAGAGAGAGAGAGAGAGAGAGAGAGAGAGAGAGAGAGAGAGAACTTTTACTAACACTTGAAACGAAAAGAAATGGGATGTTGATGGTCTAGTGATATTTAAACTCACAAAAAATAACATCGTGTAGCGGTATGGTGAGTTAAATGTTTAGATAACATTTATTCGGTTAAATTAACATAAAAGTTGACCATTAATTTAACATATATGTATACCTGTATTGATAATGCAGGTATATAGTGGAGAATAGAGCGTACAGGTATACAGTAAGGTTCGTACTGTAGAAGAGTTACAGAAGAGTGGTAACAATGTGCTGCAGAATTCGTCCTGTAGAAGAGGGAAGTGCTGTTGAATTCCTTCTTTAGAAGAGGGAAGTTCTGTAGAATTCCTCCTGTAGCAGAGGAAAGTGCTGTAGAATTCGTCCTGTAGCAGAGGGAAGTGCTGTAGAATTCCTCCTGTAGCAGAGGAAAGTGCTGTAGAAGAGAGAAGTGCTGTAGAATTCGTCCTGTAGAAGAGAGAAGTGCTGTAGAATTCGTCCTGTAGAAGAGGAAAGTGCTATAGAATTCCTCCTGTAGCAGAGGAAAGTGCTGTAGAATTCCTCCTTTAGAAGAGGGAAGTGCTGTAGAATTCGTCATGTAGCAGAGGAAAGTGCTGTAGAATTCGTCCTGTAGCAGAGGGAAGTGCTGTAGAATTCCTCCTGTAGCAGAGGAAATTGCTGTAGAATTCGTCCTGTAGAAGAGAGAAGTGCTGTAGAATTCGTCGTGTAGAAGAGGGAAGTGCTGTAGAATTCCTCCTGTAGCAGAGAGAAGTGCTGTAGAATTCCTCCTTTAGAAGAGGGAAGTGCTGTAGAATTCGTCCTGTAGCAGAGGGAAGTGCTGTAGAATTCCTCCTGTAGCAGAGGAAAGTGCTGTAGAATTCCTCCTGTAGCAGAGGAAAGTGCTGTTGAATTCGTCCTGTAGAAGAGAGAAGTGCTGTAGAATCTGTCATGCAGAAGAGGGAAGTGCTGCAGAATTCCTCCCAGCAGAGGGAAGTGCTGTAGAATTCCTCCTTGGAAGAGGAAAGTGCTGCAGAATTCTTTTGTTTAGAAGAGGGAAGGCTGTAGAATTCCTCCTGCAGGAGAGGAAAGTGCTGTAGAATCTGTCCTGTAGCAGAGGGAAGGGTTGTAGAATTCCTCTGTAGCAGAGAGGAAAGTGCTGTAGAATTCGTCCCAGAAGAGAAGTGCTGTAGAATTCGTCCTGTAGCAGAGGAAAAGGTAGAATCTGTCCTGTAGAAGAGAGAAGTGTTAGAATTCCTCCTCCTGTAGCAGAGGTGGAAGTGTTGTAGAATCTCCTGCAGCAGAGGAGTGCTGCAGACCCGTCCTGTAGCAGAGGGAAGTGCTGTAGAATCTATGTAGAAGAGAGAAGTGCTGCAGAATTCCTCCTGTAAACAGAGAGAAGTGCTGCAGAACTATGTAGAAGAGAGAAGTGCTGTAGGAATTCGTAGGTGCACTTGAGAGTTTTATTCATAAATTTCTAAAAAACTAGAAAAAATAGAATCACCAAATAATCGACTGTTCATTTTGCACTTGTACACACACACACACACACACACACACACACACACACACACACACACACACACACATGCGCACACACACACACACACACACACACACACACACACACACACACACACACACACACACACACACACACACACACACACACACACACACACACACCCACACTCACACACATACACACACACACACCTGGATTAGCTGTTGACTGCAAGGATTGGGCTGAGGGTGATGGTGGGGAGCTTATGAAGCACTGGAGGTGCTAGTATGTCATCACCGGCCCCCTCCCTCCCTCTCCTCTCCCCCTCCCCCACCCCCCCTCCTCTCCCCCCACCTCTCGGTATTAAACGACAAAAACATTAAAACAAAAACCTAAAGAGTCGCTTGAATGTTTTCATTGTTTTAAGAATTTTAGGATCACCTGAAGATTAGACACCCCAGCCTATTACACCTGTTGATTAAATACTAACTTCATCTTAATGGGTTAGATTAGTGTGGGTTAGATTAGGTTAACTTAGATTAGTGTGGGCTAGATTAGGTTAATTTAGGTTAGATTCAAATTTTCTAAATGATGAGTTTATGTTTCTTTATTTTTTTTATTAAAATTGGTTAAAATTACACCCGAGTGAAAGATGCAAATACATACAACAACAACAACAACAACAACAACAACAACAACAACAACAATAATAATAATAATAATAATAATAATAATAATAATAATAATAATAATAATAATAAGGGCTACAGTATCTCCAGGTTGGTTCATTCCCTTCCCTTCCCTTCCCTTCCCTTCCCTTCCCTTCCCTTCCCTTCCTCTCTATTTATCATCATCTCATTTTTTCCTAACCACCACTTCATGTCCTCATCATCCATTTATATCACCTCCTTTATCCATTCTGTCATCCATCCATTCCTCCAACACCCCCTTCCACCCATTCCTTACACCTCCCATTACTTATAAACTCATCCTATCTCTCCTCTCCTCTCCTATTACCGTTCCATCATTCCACCCTCACATTACCCATTGGTTCTAGGTCACCCCCTCCCATCTCCCCCTTCCTCCTCCCCTCATCCCACTGCCTCCCCACCTCACCACATCTTATAAATTCCAATTTACCACTCACCACTCAACCCCCTCTCATTCACCCGTCATCCCTCCCACTCATCCCTCGCCTACCGCCTAACCTACATCCATTCATTACCGTCATCCACTTGGCCCGACATCCTCTGGCAGCCGTCAATTACCCCCCTCACCCACTTCTCCTCCACTCATTGCTTCTCTGTCCACTTCCTCACAACCTACCCATCAGCCCCTCCCCCGCCACCCATTAATGCTCAGTCCTTGCCACCCATTAATTCACTTTGCCAACCATTGATACTCCTTCCTGCCACCCATTAATAGTTCTCCTTGCCAACCATCAATGCTTCGTCTCTGCCACCCATTAATGCTCCTCCCCACCACTCATTAATGCTCTTCCCCACCACCCATTAATGCTCCTCCCCGCCACCCATTAATATTCTTCCCCGCCACCCATTAATGCTCCTCCCCACCACCCATTAATGCTCCTCTCACCACCCATTAATGCTCCTCCCCACCACCCATTAATGCCTCCTCCCCACACCCCACCACCTTCTCCCCAACATAACACCCCCTTCTCACACTCACAATCCCTCCCCTTTCCTCAGTGACCTCCTCCCCCCACCCTCCCTCCACTCTCCCCCACCCGGTCCCTCCACGTCTACTCGTCACTCCCGTCACTCTTCAGACACTAACAGAGTGAGGCGGCCACTCAGAGGGGATAACTGTGGAAATATATAAATAAGCACCCAAATAAACCACTCAGTGAGGATATTATGTATTAAGCCTGAAGCAACTCTATCTAATTGTTTTTAAAATCTATTTCGTGTCTGTCTCTGTGTATGTGTGTGATTGTATATATGTACATGTGTGTGTGTGTATTTGTGTTTATGTCTGTGATTATATGCTCATAAAAGGTAATTTAGCCACATAAACCACATTATAAATTATATACAAAATACCTTGTTGTACGAAAATTAGACCCGGTGTAAAAACGTGTATGACGAGTATTGGCCCACACGTTATCAGCGGTCACCACCACCCCCCAAAACACACGCTCAATAAATAAGGTTTCCTCTGGGGCATGACGGTGACCTCTGGAACTACTAAACTACCCGACTCGGAGACTGCTAAACTACGCGAGACTATGGAAATGGAAGATAGTGATGTGGGATTGAGTTTTGAGGGGAATTATCGTGAGGGGTAATGAGTAGAGGGCGTGGTAGAGGGCTCTTGTTTCTGGAATTTGTAGGCGTTGTGTAGTTTGTCCTCATGATGCCATATACTGTATAAGTGGATGGTAGATCGTCTTGTTTTCGTCTGCTGCTGGTGAGGGAGGCTGCATGCCGCCCTCAGGAGGAGGAGGAGGTTGGGAGATGTTTTTCTTGCACGTTTTAAGAGGCTAAAAGAAGAATAGGATGATGTGACCGACGGTGCGGTTTACACAATATATTTTCACACGAATTCGCTTGATTCGTAATCTCACATCCTCTCCCATCCCCACTCAGCCGGAGTCGTAAGTGATGTTTATATCGCTTTGATTACACCCATGCGTGGGAGCGAGGCTGGCATGCATGTATGTAGATGCGAGGGGTGATTATATCCCTGACGCCCACCACGGAGAACTAAGGGTCTTGATAGACAAAGAAGGACGCCGGTGATTTTGATAATGCGGACAGGTGGTCCAACACGCAATGCTTCTTGTGTTTCATGCCGAGAAATTACACGTTGTGGCCGGTCTGTACGTGAGGTGAGTGGTCTGGGTGATGCTTCGTGGCCCGCTGCATGGTGCTACTGCTGCCCCTGCTGCAGGGTGCTGCTGCTGCATGGTGCTCCCGCTGCATGGTGCTACTGCTACTGCTGCCGCTCCCGCTGCATGTTGTTGCTGCTGCTGCTGCTGCTGCTGCTGTTGCTGCTGCTTCCTGGCCTGGTACATGGTGCTACTGTTCTACTGCTTCCTGGCTACTGATACTGTCAGTGTTCGTGATGATGTTTGTTGCTGAAGTTATTAAAGTTGATGGTTACGCTCCTTGCTGTGATGATCTTACTGTTGTCTTTGTTGTTGCTGTGTTGTTACTGCTACTTGTGTTGGGGTTGTTACTGTTGTCTTTGGTAACGTTGCTCCTGTGCAATAAAAACACCGTCTACTACTACTACTACTACTACTACTACTACTACTACTACTACTACTACTACTACTACTACTACTGCTACTGCTACAGTCACCCTCACCCACACGGTAAAATAAGACCGCTACACCTTCCTCCCTCTAGAATGTTGAACAATTTGGATTTTTTCACGATACTGAAGCTGTTGCAGGTACAACCATACTGTGTGTGTGTGTGTGTGTGTGTGTGTGTGTGTGTGTGTGTGTTAAGAATAATAAAAATAAATGATAAGGAAATTCACCTTCTGAGAACTTTGGTAAATAATCCATTGTATTAGAGACGACAATGCACCAACCACTTGTGAAAGGAATTGTGAAAGAAGTTAAGATTGTAAAAGTCAATCATCACACAAGATCTTACATAACACCTGAGCAGTACTGAAGACCCTGGCAACATGAAGGTGTGTGTGTGTGTGTGTGTGTGTTATGATGTACACATAGACTTGAGATGGTACACATGAATACATTACCTGACCCGAAACCCCCATCCAAACCTCCAACCTTACACCCCGCCACCCCCTCTTCCGCCCCACCTCAATTCCCACCCCACTCCCCACTCCCCACCCCACCATCCCATCCCACCCCACTCCCCACCCCACCCCACCCCACCCCACCCCCACCCCACCCCACCCCACCCCACCACATCACCAATGCCTCGTCTTAATTGAAATTTTTAAGATCTTTTTAAGGGTCAGAGATCTTCTAGGAGACCAATTTTGATGAGGAATAATTATTTCAAGGTCTCGAGGCTAAGTTATTTCCTCCTTCGTCATGTGGCTTGAGTCTTGTATCTCCTGAGGCCACGGTTTATTGACACGCATTAGATAATTACCTGTATTTATTATTATTTTAATTACCTGTTGATTTAGTAAAACTATTTCTCATTTATTGTATTTTTGTGGTTGTTTATTTTATTTTGTTTATTTTTTAATGTTTGTGCGTGTGTGTTGGTTTTATTTCTCTCTCTCTCATTTACCTCCCCTGCCCTCTTACTCCCCCTCCTCTTCCTACTACGCAGTAATACTTTGCTCACCCCTCCTCACCTCACCTTCCTACCCCACCTCACACCTAACCCCTACCTAACGCTCACCTTTGACTTCACCAAACTCCACCCAACTAACCCATTCTATCCCTCCCTCTTAACCCATCCCCTCTCCCCTACTCCTCATCTCATCTAACCTACCCAGCTCACCTCACACACCTCCCTCCCCCACCCTCATTTCTCTCCCACCTATCCCTTCCCTCTCTCCCTACCCCACCCCTACCTAACCTTCCCTACCTCACCCCCCCCCTACCAAGACGTGTGCCACAGGTAATTGGTATAACTACTGTGGTAAGCCCGTCACCAACACCTGACTGACTATCAAGTAACGGCGTATAGTCTGCTGCCAACCACCAAAATAGACCTATGCTATTTGTGTTGTGTTTGACGCCATTACTTCCCTTTAATCGAGTTCATATGGAGGTGTGTGTGTGTGTGTGTGTGTGTGTGTGTGTGTGTGTGTGTGTGTGTGTGTGTGTTGTACGTTAAATAATAATAATATTAATAGTTATAACAATAATAATAATTAGCGATTTATTGAAAGAGCATGGCAGCCGGACGGCTGAAAATATACAGTTACATAATTGGGGAATGGGTCACTTGATTGACAAATAATATACACGTAACATAAGTGATACAAATATGGTATATAATAGCTAGGTGGGGAGAAGGTCATACTACAGGGCATTTCAACATAGTGACAGTGCAAAAAGGTAAGATTGGCTGGCAGTAAATGCACTGTTTGATTACGAGTTGTTGATAATTTTTACAATGGTTGGGATTGGGCTGTTCTTGTAGCGATCAGTACGTGCTCGTATGGGCTGGATGCGGTTGTGGTGTCGAACAGCAATTCGCGGACGAGGGATCTCGGGTGGAAATAGGAGCCGGTGTCGAGGATGGTGCAGAAGCTTCTCACCAAATTTGCAGATGAGGTCGTGGTGATGATCAGAGAGAGCCGAGAGGGTCAGTGTGTTGAGCGCTTCTTGATATGTGGAGTAGGAAGGGGAGAGAATAATCTTGCATGCCCTCTTTTGCACTTTTTCTAGGTGTTTCCGTTGTGTGGCATTTAAGTAGGAAGACCAGGTAGGGGAGGCATAGGCGAGCTTGGGGAGTATGATTGTTGAGTAAACACTGAGGAGCTCGGGCACCGAGGAGCTTAGTGGAGTCCACAACCTGGAGTGTGTTGGGGCCTGAAGTAATGGAGGGAGGTGGGACAAGGTCAGAGGAAAGGTTGATGTGCGGAACCATGGTCTTGGTATGGTTGATGGTGACGTGGTTATTGGTGGCCCGAGTTTGGAGACTGTTTGTGTGTCTTTACCTGTAATGTGTGTATGAATTTCTGTGTGTTTTTTGTAGGTGTGTGTGTTGTATGTGTTTTTACGTGTGTATGTATGTATAGTTGTGTGTGGGTTCTGTGTACCTTTGTCATGTTATGAGAGTAAACTATGCCCTAATGAAACATCAAATAATTACCATATATGAATAATCACCTTTAAGTTATAACAAAAAAGTTATCCCAATTTGGCAAAAATGTAACGTCACTTGTCTCACTACCCGACTGTCTCATCACCCAGCTGTCTCACTATCCGGTTGTCTCATCATCCGGCTGTCTCACTATCCGGTTGTCTCATCACCCTGCTGTCTCACTATCCGGTTGTCTCATCACCCGGCTGTCTCACTACCCGACTGTCTCATCACCCAGCTGTCTCTTTAATTATCCGGCTGTCTCATCACCTGGCTGTCTCATCACCTTGACTGTCTCATCACCAGTTGTCTCAATTTTTATCCGGTTGTCTCACCCGGCTGTCTCAATTACCCGACCGTCTCATCACCTGGCTGGTATCTTCACTCATCCCCGGCTGGTCTCATCACCTATTGTCTCCACTACCTGACTGTCTCATATCACCCGGCTGTCTCACTACCTGACTGTCTCAATCACCCAGCTGTTGTCTCAATATCCGGTTGTCCCAGCATCACCCGGCTGTCTCATCACCCGATTATTGTCCTCTATCACCCAGTTGTCTCACCATCCGGCTGTTCCCATCACCTGGCTGTCTCACTCACCGACTCGTCTCATCACCAGCTGTCTCACTATCCGGTTGTCTCATCGATTCCGGCTGTCTCACTCACCTGATCATCAGGTCTCATCACCGGTTGTTCACCATCCGGTTGTCTCATCACCCTGGTTGTCCTACCATCCGGCTGTCTCATCACCCGGCTGTCTCATCACCTGACCGTCTCATCGCACCAGCCGTCTCACTCATCCGGTTGTCCCATCACCCGGTTGTCTCATCATCCGGTTGTTCATCACCCTGCCGTCTCACTATCCGGCTGTCTCCCCATCACCCGGCTGTCTTCACTACCCGACTGCCTTCATCACCCGGCTGTCTCACTCACCTGATTATTGTCCTTCATCACCCGGCTGTCTCAATATTCGGTCATCTCATCACCCGGCTGTCTCACTACCTGATTGTCTCATCACCTAGTTTAAGTCTCACTATCCGGTTGTCTCATCACCCGGCTGTCTCACTACCCGACTGTCTCATCACCCAGCTGTCTCACTATCCGGTTGTCTCATCACCCGGCTGTCTCACTACCCGACTGTCTCATCACCCGGCTGTCTCGCTACCCGGCTGTCTCACTATCCGGCTGTCTCACTACCCGACTGTCTCACTATCCGTCTCTCACTACCCGGCTGTCTCATCACCCGGCTGTCTCACTATCCGGATTCCTCACCACCAGGGTTCCTCACCACCCGGCTTCCACCTCATTCGTTCCCGCCGCTGAGCACAGCCGTCGTCAGCTTGACCCGGCTGTACGTGTCTCATACGGCAGAGGAACCATAAATTACTCAACTACTAATTTAATGACCGGAATTGAAACCAGGGAGTGTGTAGGTAAAGTGTGTGTGTGTGTGTGTGTGTGTGTGTGTGTGTACTGTATATATGTGTATGTATGTATATATGTGTACGTATATATGTATGTATGTATATATGTGTACGTATATATGTATGTATATATGTATGTATGTGTGTGGGGGGGGAGGCTTACGACACAGGTTTATAACACGGCGACAGGTGACCCAGCCAGCCATAACTACACCTGCCCCACACTAAACCATTAACACATTCTCCTTGTACAGGTAATTAATTGTTTTCTGCTCCTAAGAAGGGTGGCTCCCGTTTTCTCTATGTCACCGTAGGAAAAAAATACACAAAAACCCCCCACAGGTATTATTGGGTCAGGTGTGACAGAGTTTTCACCAGGTAATTGAGTTATAAAAGGTGGTGTTTTGTCACAGCTCTGAACACCTGACTTAGTTGGTATTGGTAACGGGAGAATAAAGTGGGGGGGAGGGGGGGTATTAAGAATGGTATTTTTGTATAAGGGCTTCGGTACAGGTGTGTGTGTGTGTGTGTGTGTGTGTGTGTGTGTGTGTGTGTGTGTGTGTAAGTCAGTGATTGTTTATGGAAACTGTCACTTTTATTGAGGATGTTGATATTGCAGTGTGTGAGTGTGTACAAGGCTGGATTAGGTTAGGTTAGGTTAGGTTAATGTTAGGTTAGTGTAAGTCAGGTTAAGGCACGAACAAAATAAGAGTTAAAAGAAAAAATACCAAATCATTTAGTTACAATATTTTCTCAAAATTTCATCATCTTCCTAACTTAAAAGAACGCTTGAGATATAGCCTCTCAAACACGCAAGAAGAAGTAAAACAAAGAAACGG